TTGAAAATAAGAAATATGTTGTATACGCGTATATTATTAAAAATAAGCATATCATTACTTTATTCAGAAACTGGAATTCTAAAGCGAAATTACTTGTAGAATGATCTAATGATGGATCGTTACGAAATGGTTATGGAATTCGATTGTTCGATATGGTACCATTCGATTGCGACAATTTGTTCACAATGTTTACCCTAAAAAACGAAATTGTTCAAATTGTTCGATAATTGTTTTTAAAATATGAAAGGTAGAAAAGGTATCGAAGATCGATGATTCGTGGGACGACGATGACTTTTCAATCGTACAGGGTGCTTTTAAAATATAATCTATAAGCTGGCGTTATCGTTTTTTTTGGACTCTATAGAGGAGAGAAACTATTAGATATATTTTTTAACACGGAAGTGCGATTAACTAATTGGTTTATTCCGATTGCATGTTAAATTTGACCGAAAACGTTTTATTTATTAGGTTTTATTTGAATTAATAAGGAATAATAACAATGTGTTCGCGGTGATACTTCGCAAATTACATAGAAATTTCTTGAATTCTTTGTAAATTAGTCATACATACAATATAGACAATGATAATAATAATAATAATAGATATTTCGAAATCGATATAATCGGATAATTAACAAAATTGTTCAATTGGTCAGTGATAATGTTGGCAATCGTAATTGTTTGTTTATACGATTATGATGATTAATAATTAACCGTAAAATAGTAATAAGCACGCATTATTGTCAGCCAAGTTGATTTAACAGTATTTTTAATCACAATCTCTATTTTACACGATATGGAAATAAATTATCAGCTTGTGATAGATAAATCGGGAAGAATTTGTATTTTTTTACAATACACCTACGAATACGATTTTTTAGTACGGGTAGTACTATCGAAACGTGAGAAACATCATCGATATTGCCATCAGGAATTTTTTCTTCTCTTTTATTAAACAATTGTTTGTATATATTTTTTTTCAAAGATTTTTATTTTATATGTTAATAAATTTTATTTATATTTTTTTTTTTGGATAATATAATAAAATAAAATAAAGTACCTGTTTGTTGAAGAATATTTGAAAAAAAGAAAAAATGATTCATATGAAAAGAAGTAAAACGAAATGCACTTTTTTAAAATATAACGAGTTTCTTACGTACACTATTTGATAGTGCCTTCCTACATAATTCAAGAACGTAGAAAAAATTCAAGGAACCTTAGTATTAGATTTATAAATACTACTACTACTCGTCAAAATGAATTTTTCGAAGTTAACATTAATGTATTTACGAGTTTCTTTGACTTTTCTTTATTAGCGCTGGTTCCTATAGTGCTAGTCAAAAAATTGTACCTAGTCAGTGAAATATGCAAGCATTTAATTTCTATATCGTAACATTGCTCAAAGCAGATAAAAAGAATCAACAGATAGATTAAAATTCGAAATAAACATTAAATATTAAATTAAATAATATTTAATTATATAAAAATAAAATTTTTTAAAATTTAAAAGTTTAGGAATTTTATTCCTAATTAAAAATAATTTTATATTATAAATAAAATATTTTTATACTTTTTAATTGTTTGAATTTATTTTAAAAATTGTTTTGAGCAATGAACACATTGTATGGACTATCATAAGAAATTTAACATACAACATGGATGATAGTATGATCCGAGGAATGATGTGAAAAATTCTTATGTCAAAATCCATACATATTTTATTCGAAAACAAGTATCGTTAATTTATATCATGCATTTAAAATAAAATTTTTTGGAAATATTATATATTTTATCTTGTATTTTTCTAAATTTTTTAACCTAATCAAACAAATTGTGTAACAAATAATCAGACATTTCTTTTCTTATCGATCATTAAAATAATTTTACTTAAAAATAGCGTAAGCTCGATTTCGTTTTATTTTATTACCTTTCTTTGTTCAAACAATTTATTTCACATTCAATAACACTTCATTTGATAAAATTTTTTAATAAATAAATTAATTTAAAAAATATATATATATATAATATATAATTATAAATAAAAAAATCATTGATTCTAAAAAAAAAAGATGCAAAAAAATATAAAATATTCTAATCATTTAAAAAAAAGTTTGATCTTATTATAAATAAATATCATGTCAAATTTATTAGATGGTAAATAATAACAAAATAATAGATTATGCAGTTTAATCGATGAAAAATTGATTCTTCATTTTATGACAAGCAATCAAATATTCTTTTTCAACTTTGTTCATATTTTTTTTATATTTAAAAGTGATTCATATATCATTTCGAAATGGAAATGATAGAAATTACAACCTTCATGCTTCCACGTGCAATAATTGCATCAAACTCTCATAAACAATTTTCTTCTATAATAAGAAATATTTGTGCCAAAATATCGAAAATTAAAGAGATTCTCTGAAGACATAAATATATAATATAAAAGATATTGATATATTTAAATGCGGATGATATTGAATTTAACATTAAGAAAATTGAAGTAAAGAAGAAAGGAAAGACTAAATAAAAATCTAACAATAAATTTGCACTTGTGTGTATAGTATAAACGTGTACTTTTTATCACACCATGTAATATATTTTAAGATAATTATAACTCATAAAACGCAAAGTTCGTAAATTGAATTAATTTTAATAATCAAGTATGAAAATAATATTTACAATAATTAAAGTATAATGAATTAAATCATTCACAAAGCAAATATAATAAAATAATAATGAAATAACCTGAGCGTTATTACTCACATATGTATACATATAATAATAATGAAACTTTATCAAAATGTCAAAAAAAATAGACTAATGTATGAAAAAAAAGAACATGAAAAATGCACTTTAAAAATTATCTATCGATTCACTTTCTAAATTTCGTTTTTCTATATTATTTATATCTAATGAGTGTTTTTTACATTATTTAATGTTTATAATTTAATTTCTTTATATTCAATGCAGTACAATGAAATTATATGATTATTTTAAGGATTATTGGATATTATTAAATTTCATGTTTTGAATGTAAAAACAATTAATTTCCAAAAAAAAATAAAACGCGAATAATTATTTATAAATTTATTAAAATTTATAATTAAAATTATATGTTATATTTTTATATGTAGCATATTTTAGAAATAAATTTAAATTTAAAAAATTGTTTATTTAATATATTTAACTAATTTTTAAAAAATATTATATAATATGGCAAGGATTGAAATTAGCGGAATTCAAATAATTCAATTATTAATATGAAACTAGTTAATAAAAAGATTTGGAACATTTGAAGATATATTTAAAATAAAAATCAAAATATCTTAAAATAATATTCAAATAAATTTTAATATTTTTTTTAATATTTCTCTATTATAATATTTATAATATTGTACAAGACAAAAAAAATATTTATAATGAATGAATATATATAAATATATCATTGTTTTTTACACTAACTTTATGTAATATATCAATCGTATGATATTGTTTAAAATTGTTACAAGGTTGGCATTGTATATAAAGAAATAAAAGATATAATTATTCAAAAATTTTTATTCCATATTCTTTTTTCTTTTTATTTTTTCTTTCTAAAATTAATTAATTCTTAAATAAAATGCAAATTTATTAAATACATATTGTAGTTATTCTAAAAAGATATAATTTTATATTCTTAATATCATATTTATTGTATCATTTTATGTATCATATAATATTTAATTCATTACATTTCTAAAAGAAAAAATTCAAAAAAATATTTAAATTGGAAATATATCTTCTTTTTTAAAAAAGTTAATATTAATTAATTATTTATTGACTAAAATAATATTTTACTTAATTTCATCGTAAAATGATTATTTATCTATTACTAATATTAATCAAAGTATTGATATAAGAAATAAAATATAAAAATATCATAATATTATTTTTTTCAATTATCGAATATTAATATCAAAATATAAAAAGTTAAATTTATCATGTTATTTGATATGTCTTATTATATAGCATAGCTATAATTGGAACATATTAAGATAATTATAATTTTGTTATATATGCAAATTGTTCTAAAAAATTTTCAAAGATGTTGATTTAACAAGTTTTTTTTTTGCAACTTTATCAAATAAAACTTTGGAAGATTTTAAAAAATCTTAAATAATGTCTGAAATATAAAAATTCTTATATAAGTATTATTTATAATAGTTAAAAATTTAAAAGTTTGAATCTAAAGATCGAATCGAAATATCGATATTAAAATATATAAAGCATTTTTTTGAACAATGTTGGTAGCAAGTAAGTAAGATGTAATGTACCATCATGGCGACGTTACCGCCACGGAAAAATCCAACTCCAACGAAAATTTTAAAACAACATTTAACACCATTACAAACACTTTTACAATTGGGTTTTCCGAAACATCGAGCGTAAGTATTATACAACAATTATAAGAGATTGTCAATATCTTTTTATTATTCTATAAACAATTATAAACGATTATGATGCATTCAGTGTAAACAAACAGCTGTCAAATATTAAGTATCACTATTGTTTTCTTTCTGTGTTTGTTCTACCGTGATTGTTTATATTTATTATTGTAATTAACATATTATACATTTTTTTATCATTATTTTTTTGATAAATCAAAAAATATAATTTTATAAAAATTTATTGTATAATTATTATATAAGAAATATGATTAGAAATATTTTACTAACTATATAAGTCATAACAATATTATATTGTTTATAGAGAGAAAGCATTAGCTGCTACAGGGCATCGAGGTGTTCAACTTGCATCTGATTGGCTAGTAGCTCATGTTAGAGATCCAACTTTGGATACTTATACTCATAGACAATATATTTTATATGCTTGTCCTACGGGTGAATTAGCTGAACAATTAATGAGATTTTGGTCTGAAAGTAAAGAACTTATAAGGAATGGAGCTCATAATTATATGCCACATATTACACTTGTGTCATTTTTTAGAGTATGAAATTATCTTAATAATATGATGTAAATAAATATCACAAAATAATATAAACATTTATTTATAGGCACCAGATGAATCTACTGAAGAGTTGGTAAATACCCTTGAAAATGTAATTAACCAAAATGAATTATCAGATAATATTGAATTAGAAACATATATTTCTCCTAATTTTATGGGTTTATTTGTTAAAAAAGCAAATGTAGAATGGCTGAAAAATGTTGCTATTCATTATGTAAACAAACTTTCAAGTTTGGGGATTTCTGCAGAACCTCAAGTAAAATCTTTACATTTGACACTAGCTTATCAGTTCCCTAGCAATTTATATCAACAATTGCGTTTAATGGTAGAAAAATTAATACTTACTTGTCCAACTAATTGGGAACTAAGATTATATTCCAGAGATCCTAGATTACAAAATATACATGTACATAAAGTAACACATGCTCATATGCCTAGAGAACATGATGAATTAGAATTAAGAGTAGGAGATTACATTTACATTCCAGAAGGAGCATGTAGTGCATCTACAGATGGTTGGGTCGAAGGTATCTCTTGGTTAACTGGTATTTCAGGCCATTTACCTTTAAATCATACAAAACGTACAGCTGAATCAGATTCATGGACTTTACACACTACTATACAAATTACTGACAATAAAAGTGAAATTTTAGAAAAAGAAGAAATACCTCTAACTCGTAAACTACCAGAATTATTATCAAGTGATTCTGTAGACAGTCCTGATGGAGTAGCAACAACTAATGAACCAGTAAATTATATTAATTATATATTATTTATTCATATATAAAAATTCCGATTTTAATCTTTTATCTACATATGTAGATAGAGGCTTCTGAAGCACCTTCAAGTTTCTCAAGACAAATTTTTATATGCCGCCATGGAGAAAGAGTAGATTTTACATTTGGAGCATGGATTCGTTACTGTTTTGAACCAAATGGATCTTATGTTCGTAGAGATTTAAATATGCCAAAAGAAATACCATCAAGAAATATACAGGATTTTCGAAATGATAGCCCTTTGACAACTGTAGGTGAAATGCAAGCAAGTTTAGTAGGAGAAGCTATGAAATCATCTAGTATTAAAATTGATGTGGCTTTCACATCTCCATCATTAAGATGTATACAAACATTGGCTCATATCTTAAAAGGATTAGACTTAAATATTCCAATGAAAATAGAGCCAGGTCTTATAGAATGGTTAGCATGGTATCCAAATGGTGTTCCAGTTTGGATGACATCTGAAGAATTAACAAAAGCAGGTTTTAATATAGATAAAAGTTATGATCCAATTATTAAAGCAAAAGAACTTCCATTAAAGGAAAATGCAGCTCAGTATTATGAACGAAGTTACGAATTAATCAAACGAATTATTGAAAATACAGTAGGAAATATTTTAATAGTAGCTCATGCTGCTTCTTTGGCAGCTTGTACTAGGCAATTAACAGGTGGAAAAGTTCCACCAGCTTCTGAAGTTACAAGATTAGCACAGAGAGTACCATATTTAGCATGTCTAACAGCACGTGAAGAATTAGATGGTTGGCAACTTCATCCACCTCCATTTCCACCAATAACCCATACCAGTAATACTAGGTTTGATTGGAAAGTATTATTGTAAAAAATAATTAATATTTTAAATACAGTTTTTTTCTCTTTTTATCCTTTATCATATAGAAACTGTTTAAACATAAAAGACTGTAAAGATATAATGAATTTTTGTAACATTTAATTTATACAAACTACATTAAAAAGAGAGAAAACGTATTAAAAAATTATATATTCTGGGTTGGGTTATTTATAATATAATAAAATATGCCAGTTGACTATTCAATAATTACAAAAATCAATACTTATAGGGCAATAAATACGGGTATTGACATTTAATTCTACCTTCTTTATAAAGAATTTAGAATATGTCTCAAAAAAAATTTGAATTGATATTTTAAAAAAAGATATATTCTTTCATAGATTTCATACTGAATGTTTAGAAAGTTTTTAGTAATATGATATATAGTATTTATAGCATTTGATAAAAAAATATTAATAATACATTCAAAATCTTAGAGAATGTATTTAAAAAATCATGACATTAAGAAATTTGATATAATTTTTTTTATTTTTAATTGTAAAAATTTAAAAAATTATTAATTTGTTATTTATTCAAATTTTTAAATTATTTTGCATATATTATGTATACATTATGTATACATAAATAATGAAAAAATATGAAATCAAATCTAATGACTTTTACAAAATATATAAATGCATGTATATAATTTAGATTTAAAATATATTATTTTTATGTTTAATAATTTAGTTCATTGTTACAAAGAATCTATTTAAATGGAAATTACGAAAATCAGTAAATAACAAAATCTTTTCATACATTGTATAAACCTATGAAATAATAGTTGGCATAAATAATGTGTGGAGATATAGAAGTACAAAATCAATGTAGGAAAATGTTATTTACCAAAGAAATATATAAAATGTTATTTCATTACAAATATCAGTTATGTCATGAAGGAATTCTACTATTTTATTTACTATAGAAAAAAATTTATCAAAGTATAATATATAGTATACCTCATAATGTTTAAAAAATTTTTTATATAAAACAAAATTTAATAAAAAATATAACAAATATAAGATATAAAATGTTTATACTTTTTTATAACAGTATTGATAATTATATATGTCCACTTTCCTTTAATTTTGCAATTAATGTATCAACATTTGGTACAATAGTTCCAGCTTGCCTAACTGGTGGTTCTTCAACTGATAAAATTTCAATTCTTGCTGTAGTATCTACACCAAGATCTTTTGCTGTTATTTTTTTAATTGGTTTTTTCTTAGCTTTCATAATATTTGGCAATGTAGCATATCGTGGTTCATTAAGTCGTAGATCAGCACTTAAAACTGTTGGCATTTTTATTTTAACGACTTCTAAACCTCCATCAACTTCACGTGTAACAGTTAGGTCATCATTATTTTTTTCAATCTATTACAAAAAAATATAGAATATATATTGTAATAAATAGTTTTTAATATTACTTAAAATATATTTTTAAATAATATTATTTGATATTGTAACTTACTTTACTACAAAATGTTCCAGTTGGCCAATCTAAGATACCTCCAATCATTTGTGCAGTTTGATTACTATCATCATCTATAGCTTGTTTTCCAACAATAATTAAATCTGCTTTCTCTTCTTGAGCCAATTTGGCCAAAAGTTTAGAAACATGAATAGGTTGCAATGTTTCATATTCAGATCCAGATATTTCAACATGAATTCCTTTATCAGCACCCATTGCAAGTGCAGTTCTTATCACATCTTGACATTGTGGAGGTCCACATGAAACTGCAATTATTTCTTGTACTAATTTTTTTTCTTTCATTCGTATAGCTTCTTCAATTGCAATTTCATCAAAAGGATTCATTGAATGTTTTACTCCATCTGTTACAACACCTGTTTTATCTGATTTAACACGAATCTAAAATATGAAATAAAACAATAATATAATATTATAAAATGTAAATGAAAAACATTATTTAAAATTATTTCAATCTAGAATATGAAGATACTTGTTTAGATAGAATACTTGTTTTTTATTGTAATAATTAATGTATTACATAATAATTAGATTTTTATTTTAACTTATGATTAAAATTATATTTTTTAACATATAATTATTAAATTTTATATTATATTTATATTATTAATTACCTTAACTGCATAATCGATAACTCTTTTTACACCTACAAGTGCTCGTGCCATTGTTGTTAACTAACAAATAGATCGATAAATTATACGAAATAAAAGTATATAATTATCTTTTCATAATATCTGTCGAAATATTTACAGAACTGTATAATCTTTCTTATATATAGTCGAACTACTATTTGATTGGTCTGTTTGATATTTTGATTATTTAGTAAATCTAAATAAGTCTAAAGTTCATTTATACTTTGATATGTGTTGATTTTATGGGCATATTTTTATTCAGTTCATGCTGATTTTATGGACATATTTTCATATAGTTTATACTAATGTATATAACTAAACTATAATATCATAGTTGTTTTAAACAAAACTCTAATTATAACAAAATAATTCCAAAATTATTTGAAAGATAAGATAATAAAGATAATTTGTAAATCGTAATGACGTAAAATTTGTAATAAATGTTTTGCTTTTATGATAAAATTTCTTCTATAGATTCCATATTTATCATAATTTATTTATAAAATAAATAAAACAATGAAATTTATAATCATGTTTTCATATTAGCAAAGACATATTATTATTCTAATCGGATTTACAAATAATTTACAACAATATTTTTCATGTTATTCTTTTATTTTAGTATATTATAAATTAAGGCCATTTTCAATCTTGCGACATGAAAATGAAACACATATAATGTTTTTCTTATTATTATTTTAAAAATTATATTATATATTGTTTATTTAAAAAATTTTTCAAATTTAAAACATATTTTTCAAAATATTTCAAATTATTATACGAATGAAATATACATATTAACTTATATGCTATATATATTAATTATTATAATTCTCTACAAAAATTTAATAATTGTAATTTAATTAATTAAGAAACGCTTAATATATTTTAGTTTCTCTAGAATAATATGTGAATTATATAGAATAAAGAAATTATTGTAAAAGATTTAAATATTCATATATGACTTAATTATTTTACATTAAAATTATTTTACATTAAATTACATTACATTAAAAAGCTATACAATAAATCTTAAATTATGAATTGTTTTTAATTTAAATATAATATATTATTATTATTATTTATGATAAATCAAAAAATAAAATAAATTTTCACAATTTTTTACTTTTACAAAATATGAAATTAATACTATTAAATACACTATTTTTAGAATCGAAGAAATTTTTATTAAGAATCTATTTCAACAAATGAATCTTTTCAAATATATAAAAATATTTATATATAATTAATATTCTAATGAAATTAGAATAAAAGAGATTTTAAACAATCATTATAGAACCAATCAGAATGAATATGAAATCAAGTTTGCGCCACACATGGCGTCCAAGAACCGACGCCATCTAACGTCTGGCATTCCTGTTTTTTTCGTGCGGGTAAAATCACGGCTTTCTATAGCGCGTAAGTCTTTATCGTTTTGTTTTGTAGAATTCGGTAAGTTAAGTAGATATCTTTGATAAATCTACTATGCTATGCGTATACCGAATGAAATGTTAGCTGAGAAAAAGCATTCACGCGGCAAAGAAAGTGTGTGGGAAAATGAGTTAACCGTGTGTTAACGCGCAGTGGTCAACTATCCGTGCAAGTTTAGCAAAGGAATATATATCCATATTCAAGACGTAATAACGTCAAGGTAATTATATATTAATCCTTATAATTGGAAATATTACATTATTTCTCTAAATATTTGTAAAATTTAATTCTAACGAAAATTTCCTTCGTGTTTATGTTTACTCCTCTAATTACCCCCTCCCTCTTTAGCCACCTTCTATTCCTCAATTCCTTATGAGATTCTCCCTCGTTTTCTTTATACTTTATACATATTTTCTTTACAATATTTTCTTTTTATAATTTTGTTTTTTATATTGTCATATAGATTTGCTTAATTTTATCTATATGTTATTGCATTGCTTTCAATAACCAAACTATGAAAAGAAAAGCATTGTTTGTATTGTTAAAATATGAACATTATTTTAAGTTATTTTAAGTTATGTTTGATATTCTTTAATGTTTTGAAAATGATGAATTATGTTAGCATATTATTAAATGAATGATCATTATAAAGCAATAGTTTTTCAAAAATTATTTGCATGTATATGTTTATTTATATCTTAATATATTTATATTTTAAATATATATTTATATATAATCGATTTTATTAAATTGATATTGATTTTTTATAAGTATTTAGAAAGACATATTTAATCAGTGAAAAATGAGTGCGTCGGCCTTAAAATCAACAATACCTGGAGTAGGTACTTCCCCTTCTTCTACAAGTCATTCTATTCTTCCAATGAATGCAATGGCACAAAAAGTTGTATCAGGATCAGAACCAGCATCTATGAAGCCTTTACCAGGAACTGGATTAAGCTATGTTACATTACAACCACCTAATCATCCATCAAGCCAACCTTTAAGCTTAGTACAAGATCATAGACCTTCTGTATATCAAACACCACCTTATGTAAGCAGTAATTCTGAAAAGGAAGACTTGGATAAATTAATCCCTAATGGAGTAGAGATTATGAAAACTGAAACAGAACAGAATATGTCTGTTTCTATAAAGCAAAATGAATCTAACAGAAATAATAATTTAAGTCCAGATAATCCTACACAAGATTCACAAAGAGAGATTCAAACAGATCAAGAGATGACATCTATTAATTTAGATTTTCCTGGTTAGTAATAAAATTTTGTTAATTAAATTATTAATTTAATTAATTACATATTAAATATTAGTTAATTTCATATAATTCATATTTTATTACATTACAAATATTTTTATATATATCAATAAATATAATAATTTAAATTATTTATTTACTTATACTTAAGACATGTTAAATTCATTAACATTGTACTGCATGTAAATACAAAACAAAATATATTTATATAGTTATATGGATGTATAAATGTTATTTTAGCATTATGTCCACAATTACAAAACAAAGTTGAAGAAAAAAAGACTCCTGTAAATAATGGTTCAAAAGAATCCGATGGAATTCCAATTAATACAACTTCACAAACAAAATTATCATCACATAAATCAGAAGATGGGTCAGTAAAATCTGATAGTCAGAAATCAAAAACTACAACTCAAAACACAAAACTTATAGCAGATAGTTCTGCATTATCACAAACAAGTAATCCACCAAAAATTGAAACAAAGGTCACTGGTTCACCAAAAGCAAATAAGAGAAAGTCTAGAGAATTAAAAGATTTAAAAGGAACATCAACAATATCAGATGGAGCAAGCAAACCAAAAAGAAATCGAATTCAAACACAACCTTATCAGAGTCCATTACCAGAAATTGCATTACTTGTAAAAAATTTAAATAAACCACCACCATCAAAAGCTTCTGATGATAAACTTATAGTATTCTATAAGTAAGTATGATTCATATATTTTTTTAAACATACATAATATAATATAATGATGAATAATAATAAAAAGTTTGGATTCTTTATTAAATTTTCATTTATGAATATAATATTTTACATTGACTTTTATTATAAATATAAAAAATTAATCCTATCATATATATTAACTTTTATTGATATTCATTATTAGAAACGAATTTTTGGCTGTGAGAAATGCAGAAGGAAGTTTCTATGTATGTCAAGCAATGCAAAATATATATAAATCTAGCAGGAAAATTCGTATACGTTGGCTTTCTCAAGACAAAAACAATGGAGAAATATATTCACCAGATTTTTACGATTACATAGGTAATCTCATGAAAAATTGCAATTATAAATATTAATTAATCAATTTTTTAGTGCACTTGACTTATATGACATATAATACTTATATGATATTTATTATTTTAGATAATGTATATCTATTATTTTCTTTTTTAAAATTTCAGATTTTGATTGTATATTAACAAATTTAAATTTAAATAAAATTGATAAAAATAAATTTCAATTAACAAAGATAGAATTATTACGTACAGAAAACATTTTAAAAAGAGCAATTGATGTTGAAGCTGGTGTATCTGAAAAACCTCGAGTAACAGAAGAACATCCGGATGGACGTTAGTATTTTTATATGCTATTTATGTCATGTTCTACTAATATCGGACTTTTATTTTAATTTTATAATATAATTCAATAATGTTTAATTTATTATATTGTCTTCTTATTAAATTTAATTAAATTTAATTAAATTTAATTAAATTTACTAATATAAAAGATATACTTTTAATATTATTTGTTTATTATTTATATTATTAAAATTTCATAAAAATATTTTATGAAATTGAAATTTTAATATCTTATCCACAGTTGACCTTTCACTTTATAAAGATGAATCACAATTAAAAAGAAGAAAAAGTCACAATTTACATAAACAAAAACAAAGTTTACGTAAGAAAACAAAACGAACTGATAGTTTCTCTGAAGATGACGCTCCTGAAGATGAATCGGGAAAAAAATCACCTAAATCGAATCGTTCTAAAAAACGAACAGTTAATAAAGCTTTGGCAATAGCAAAGTCTGTTGCAAAGGGATCTAGTAGAGCAGAAAGAGCATTAAATAGAAATACGAAATCTGGAAGCGAAACTACTGCTGCTACTAATAGTACTACAACTACCACTACTACAGTTACCACATCTACCACATCAATAGATGTAACTAAAAATAATACTGATATTAAAAGAAGTGAAAATAAAAAGAGCACAAAGCAACAGAATAATAATAACACAAGTGGAGTATCAAGGACAAAACTACGTGGTAAGAAATTTTCCTTAGTATGATTTTAACATATTTACATTTATTAAAAGAGATATTGTTCTTTAATCATCTTCAGAATTATTTAAATCATAATTTGCATTATGAAAATATTTATCTTTTTTTTAATTTTATAATTTATAAATAATATGATTTTTAAAATGTTATAATCTAACTTTTAGCATCTGCACAAAATACACAACAAAGTAATAAAACAGCAGGTCGTCCAAAGCGTATGGCTGCAGCTACAGGTATTGTATCGACCGAAGAAGCAATTCGAAAAAAGCCACGTGGGCGAGCATAAGATTAACGTAATTTACCTGTATTTCCTGTATTACATCTAGAACAGAATCTGTATCGTAGGCAATATGTACATGTAGTACACTCTTTAAAAATTGCGATCAATTTATATATGTAATATATATGATCTCAAGATTCTTATATCTTATCAGATGCTGCATTATATTATAGTCCAACAATGTGGGATCAACAATTTATATAACGATGCGGCAAATCGCATTTAATGAAAAAAGACTCAAAGATTTATAAGAGTGATATTGTGA